TCTCTGGTTCCAGTGAAAATGGTTCAGCTTGGTGAACCAGCAACCTTAAAGTGTGATATACCCATGGAGATCAGGAGTAAAGTATACTGGTACAGGCAGAGTGTTGGGGATACACTTAAATTAATTGTGACACTGTATCGAGATACAGAACCTGTGTATGCTTCTCCGTTTTTGAAATCAAGATTTCCTGCAAAGAACGCAAACAATTTTAGCAAACTGACTATTCTGGAGACAATCCAAGAGGATGAGGGAATTTATCATTGTGGAACCACAGCATGGCATAATCTTGAATGGAGTGGGACATATTTGTTAGTTAAAGGTAATAAACAGACCAACTTTTACAAACTTTTTAATCTTTCAGAGTATTTTTTGAAGAATGTCATTGTAATACATTTTATATTATGCAGGAAACACTGAAAGGACATCAAACTATATTGTTGTACAGCAGCCGACAGAATCAAATCCACTGCGTCCAGGAGACACAGCAACTCTACAGTGTTCAGTTCTCTCTGATTCTGAGAACAAGACGTGTGCAGGAATTAATAATGTTTTCTGGTTCAGAGCTGGATCTAATAAATCTCATACAAACATCATTTACACTCATGGAAATAGAACTGATCAATGTGAGAAAAGATCTGACCATCAGAAAAGATGTTTTTATCAGCTTTCTAAGAACGTCAGCTCCTCTGATGCTGGGACTTACTACTGCGCTGTGGCCACATGTGGGGAGATATTATTGGGAAACGGAACCACAGTTGAACTTGGTATGATTTTGTTTCATTTGCTGGCATTTATACTAAACTATGTTAATATCAAGATAAGTTATAAGACTTTTTAAGAATGTAATTTTTGTGTTCTTTTTTGTAGAGCGAACAACACAGCTCGTGTTTAATCAAATGGCAATATTAATAAGCTGTTTGGCCATTTCAGTCATTGGAAATGTTTTCCTCATCTGCAGACGAAGTGTATGTAAGAAAAGTAAAGGTAAGAGTTTTCTGAAGGTAAAGAGTCATGCCTTTTACAAACAAAATCTTTAAATGAGTTTTCCTATAACACCATAAGGTAAACTTTTGTTAATTAATTGTTAATGAATCTGTACGACACCACAATGACTGCCTTTACTTTGTGTACCTGAATTTGTTTAATGCATGTATCTATGTCTATGAGTGAGATTTTTGTGACAATAAATTCACAAGGTAATATCACATTTAGTGCATTTCATTATTATAATTTATTGTTACAATGTATATTTTAAGGACACGAAAGCGCTATGACAGAAGTCCAAACCGACAATTTCTTCCAATCAGTAAGTAAGAGAAATTACAGCTGTTCAGTTCAAATATGTCTAAAGAGTTCCTCATCACAATCTAAACTATGTTTGTGTATTCTTATTATAACACAGACTGAAGCTGATATAAACTACGCTGCACTGAATTTCTCTGAACGAAAAACCAGAGGAAGAAGGAAGAGGGAGTTTACTGAGACTAGTGTCTACTCCTAAATGTTGATGAAGTATCAACATATTGAGTATGTCCTTGAAAATAAACCTGACATCCCTTTACAGAGTCTATGTTTGTGACTTTTTGGTATTGTTAGTTTCAGTCTTTGTCATAAATTTGCTTCATCACTAATGCAATTTGTGCTGTCAGTATTTGTTGTACTTGTGACATCAGTAGTTTTTTATCTGTGAAAAATGGTTGCCTTGGTTTTCACAGTTAGAAGAAGATTACATTTAGTGCCTATGACACTTTAGTTCACACTACAGGCATCAGGTTTTATTGGGGGGGGCAGTTTTATTTTAAGGGCTGGGGCTGGTGTTGGGATGTTTAATTACTTTGCACAAGAGTTCTTTCAGCATAAATACACATCTATGTGCTTATTTCACCTTCTGTCACTGTCCTGGATCTTCACTCAACTGTTTTGAGTTGCACTTTCTTGTTCTTAGTTAAGCGTATCCTGAGTTTCCTCAGATCTTTGTCATGTCCAGTGTGTGAATGAGTAGATGACTGAATGGAGTGTAAAGCGCTTTGAGGTCCATAGGGACTAAGTAAAGCGCTATACAAATACAGGCCATTTACCATTTACCATGCCGTCGTTATATCCTTCATGTTGCATACGCTCTATCAGTCAATGTTAGCATTTCAGTAAGCCTACTCCAGTTAACTGTGCTTTATGTTTTGTCATGTTTGCCAGTTCAGAAAAGATGTTTTTATCAGCTTTCTAAGAACGTCAGCTCCTCTGATGCTGGGACTTACTACTGCGCTGTGGCCACATGTGGGGAGATATTATTGGGAAACGGAACTACAGTTGAACTTGGTATGATTTTGTTTTATTTGCTGGCATTTATGCTAAACTATGTTAATATCAAGATAAGTTATAAGACTTTTTAAGAATGTAATTTTTGTGTTCTTTTTTGTAGAGCGAACAACACAGCTCGTGTTTAATCAAATGGCAATATTAATAAGCTGTTTGGCCATTTCAGTCATTGGAAATGTTTTCCTCATCTGCAGACGAAGTGTATGTAAGAAAAGTAAAGGTAAGTGTTATCTGAAGGTAAAGAGTCATGCCTTTTACAAACAAAATCTTTAAATGAGTTTTCCTATAACACCATAAGGTAAACTTTTGTTAATTAATTGTTAATGAATCTGTACGACACCTCCTTCCCCACAATGACTGCCTTTACTTTGTGTACCTGAATTTGTTTAATGCATGTATCTATGTCTATGAGTGAGATTTTTGTGACAATAAATTCACAAGGTAATATCACATTTAGTGCATTTCATTATTATAATTTATTGTTGCAATGTATATTTTAAGGACACGAAAGCGCTATGACAGAAGTCCAAACCGACAATTTCTTCCAATCAGTAAGTAAGAGAAATTACAGCTGTTCAGTTCAAATATGTCTAAAGAGTTCCTCATCACAATCTAAACTATGTTTGTGTATTCTTATTATAACACAGACTGAAGCTGATATAAACTACGCTGCACTGAATTTCTCTGAACGAAAAACCAGAGGAAGAAGGAAGAGGGAGTTTACTGAGACTAGTGTCTACTCCTAAATGTTGATGAAGTATCAACATATTGAGTATGTCCTTGAAAATAAACCTGACATCCCTTTACAGAGTCTATGTTTGTGACTTTTTGGTATTGTTAGTTTCAGTCTTTGTCATAAATTTGCTTCATCACTAATGCAATTTGTGCTGTCAGTATTTGTTGTACTTGTGACATCAGTAGTTTTTTATCTGTGAAAAATGGTTGCCTTGGTTTTCACAGTTAGAAGAAGATTACATTTAGTGCCTATGACACTTTAGTTCACACTACAGGCATCAGGTTTTATTGGGGGGGGGCAGTTTTATTTTAAGGGCTGGGGCTGGTGTTGGGATGTTTAATTACTTTGCACAAGAGTTCTTTCAGCATAAATACACATCTATGTGCTTATTTCACCTTCTGTCACTGTCCTGGATCTTCACTCAACTGTTTTGAGTTGCACTTTCTTGTTCTTAGTTAAGCGTATCCTGAGTTTCCTCAGATCTTTGTCATGTCCAGTGTGTGAATGAGTAGATGACTGAATGGAGTGTAAAGCGCTTTGAGGTCCATAGGGACTAAGTAAAGCGCTATACAAATACAGGCCATTTACCATTTACCATGCCGTCGTTATATCCTTCATGTTGCATACGCTCTATCAGTCAATGTTAGCATTTCAGTAAGCCTACTCCAGTTAACTGTGCTTTATGTTTTGTCATGTTTGCCAGTGCTACCTTTTAAGTTCATGTTTGTTTGCAAAGTTCTGCATTTGGGTCCACTCTCTACCTGCCACACAGCATCCCTTGATTGAATGACGTAACAAAGAACAGGGGGAAACGGAGTACTTAAATACACACATGAGGCAATTACAAATATGGAACATAGCTGGGAAAAGCAAAGCACGGCCACATAGGGACAGACAACCATTCACACTCACATTCAC